GCACTTTCTGGCGAAATGTTTAAAAGCCAATAAGTCCAGATAGGAACAACATATTTTCATAATTTTTGGTGTGTAGGTAGCTAAGAGAGAGATGTACATGATTAAATGCAAATTATGCAAATGGGGACTTTATTTGCATAATTAATGAGGAAATTCTATGATTACAGTGTTTTACATTATACTACTTTCATACATGAAATGTATGTAACCTATGGCAGGCAGAACATCAACAGATACTAATTATGCAAATGATGACCTAATTTGCATAATTTATGCAAAAATTATATGATTTCTTAATGGTGAATAATGGGAATGTCATACTTTGGACATCTGTAAGTTAATCAAAAGTTAACATACATCACAATGCATATATCATGTTAATGTGGAGGTAATTTGCATAATTGAAGAGGAAATTTACATTTACATATCAAGCCCATATTTCATGGAGGTATGAAATCTCGGAATTCTTGTTTTATGGAGGTAATGAAGTGTTTTACCGTGGTCTTGCCGTGCTACTGACTTGATAGCTTCCACCAGGTTGGTCGGAACGTTTTGGCTTGCTGATAAGATGAAAACAATCCGGTCAAACGTCATGTTGCGATCTACTCGTCTGAACCTCCTTCGGAGCTGATTCGGGGTTTGACACATGCATTCGCCCATATTGGTGCCGGGTGGTATGCGGCCTTCGAGTGTCAGCGACATGATCGTACAGTACACTTTATCGGTGGCATCAGGAAAGCCACCACAGTCCCAGAAGACGATGTTCTTCTTGTAGTCAGGCATTGGGTGTGGTTCGTGTACTTCTTTGCAACTGCATGAGGAAACAAGAATTCGGAGATCTCATACCTCCATGAAATATATGAGTTTTTGTAAATGTTTTTTATTTGTCTCTGACATTGACTATGGAAATAAGGTCGCAATTAGCATAATCTAGTTTAATTTATGGTTTTCTAAATTCAAATGACAATATTTTTCGTGTAAACGTCCTCTCCTTTGTCATACTTCATTTCAACAGGTCTTCATTAATTACGCAAATGACCTCAACATTTACATAATATATGTATAGTGGTGCTAGCCTTTAAGTAACTAACACATGTCACAAGGTATAAAATTCCCATCATTCACCAATTAAAAAAGTCACAGAATTTTGACATAATTATGCAAATTAGGTCATCATTTGCATAATTGGTATCTGTTGATGTTCCGCCTGCCACAAGATAAATAGATTACATGTATAACAGTACTATTATATAAAACAGTGTGATTATAGAATTTCCTCCCAAATTATGCAAATCAAGTCCCAAATTAATATTTGCATTTAATTATGCACAACTCTCTTTCTGCTACCTTCATACCAAAAATGATGAAAATATGTCATTCCACTCTGGACTTATTGGCTTTTAAAGATTTTGCCAGAAAGTCTCCTGCAGTTCCAGGACAAGCTGCTAGGGGGACCAAACACACGCCACTTATTCCTGTCAGGATAAGCTATCTGTCATCAAAAAATCAAGACCATAGCATTACCCAAATAGAGATATAACATGTAATTGGTCGACTAGAGAGTACATTTTGCCTCACCCAATCCATGGGTCGACAAATGTACCTTGGCCTGCTAACTCACTTGTACTTGCAATTGGTATACTATTCTTTTTTTGGCCAGTTTCTACTATTTCCCCGTCGATCCGCACTGCTTGGCAGAGGCCAAAATATCATAATTAGTGCGCGAATTGATTGATCAATTGAGCATCGTCTCATGAAACAAACACGACTTACTTATCATCAAACATGACAATTCTCTCCAGGCGTCTCGTCACAGTTCTGTTCCCTGCACCGTAGTGGGCCACATCACTCCAACTTCCAGTGACGGCCATGATCATCGAGTTGATAAAGGAGGATTTGCCCGAGCCTGGCACTCCAACTAAGAGGAGGTTAAACGTCTCTCCAGGCCTATCGTGGAGCAGGTTGGTGAGGCGGAGTTTTACCGTGTTACGCAGCGACGCGATTTTGGAAT